AATAATTCTGTATTTTATAGTCCTGACATTTAAATTAGACATAAAAATCTTGAGTTAAATCACTGAAGTTTTGTTCAGCAACCTGTTAACACTTAACCGAATCACTTAAATCTGTTTAACATCATTCCCAGCCCCCCTCTGGGACGACCTGGAATCATTTGGCACCAATGTTCCCAAAATGTAATATTAAAAAATTCTCATGTTTTTAAAAGAAAGGATCAGACTAGTGCTGGCAGCAGCCAAAGACTGAGTTTACTGAGTTTACTGCCTGGTTTCCATGACTGCATCAATCTGAGACCAGCGTAAGAGAGAAGATGTATCCTTGGAAACCAACTCTTCGCTTCCTTCAATTAAGAAGGAAGTAGGAAAAAAAGAGAGAAAGGGCTGCAGAATAATTTAACTTGTGTTCAATATGCCCATGGCACATGGTAATCACGGGCAAAAGCCCTGTCCTGACCAAACTGTGAAAAAACTGTGTGGCACCTAGTAGAAACCCCCACACTGGTTTTATAAAGAATATCTTATGATCCATATACAATATGTACATGGGTGGAGCAAAAGTAGATTTACAGTTGAAACAGAGTTTATTCTTATGTTATTACTTATTAATCATTACATTATTTCCCATACAAACAACTGTAAACCTACTTTGCCCCACCCTGTATCTTGGTTTCAATTTTAACAGACAATAACAAAAGAAACTGTACCAATAAGAACTTTATAATATCTAATTAGTAACAATATTTAGTATTCCTTCAATATCCTTACTATAAACTGTATGCAACCATCTAAATTGTTACACACATCCTGCAAAATCTAGAAATGATTTTCTAGATTTCTTTGCTTTAGGTGTTGCAAATTGTAAAACTTCAAAATAAAATTTTTTTATATGCGAGAGCAGACTGAATATATTTATGAAAGTACCTATACTTCATAAGTTATAGATTCATTCATCTCAACTACATTTCTAAGGTAAGACTTCCTATGAAGTACAAATGAACTTTAATGAAACATTAAATATGGCTTCCCAGGTTTTCTCAAACCAGGGCCCTCCTTCCCTGGGACTATAAATATATTTCCTGTAATCAATAGAAATGGCTAGAGCAAGCCCTAGGTTCAAAAGAACTAAAAATACATTATTGTACATATCCTTTCTTCCGCTACCCGCCCACCATTCCAAGAGGAACGGACAGAGGGAAATGCATAGTTGTGTAAAGTTCAGCTGAAAGCACTGCAGAGACTGTAGTTTTTATTTAAAGGGCTACCTTCAATTTAATGATGTCCAGGGAGGAATCAATCAGATATTACAGGATCAGAGTAAATTTTTTTAAAAGTATTTTATTTATTTATCTTTAGAGGGGAAGGGAAGGAGAGAGGGAGAGAAACATCAATGTATGGTTGCCTTTCGTGCATCCCCTGCTGAGAAGTGGCCTGCAGGGAACCGGCCTGCAACCCTGGCATGTGCCCTGACTGGGAATCGAACCGCGATTGTCTGGTTCGCAGGCCCGTGCTCAATCCACTGAGCTACACCAGCCAGGGCTAAATTTTTAATTTTTTGAAAAGCCATCCCTGGTTACAAGTTATAGTTTACATTTCATTAATTGATATTTAGGAACCTGTGTTATTTAATTAAAGTATGTTAGTAGAAACCCATGCATATTAGAACTGAACAAAGTGAGAACTAAACTACACATGGAACGAGATAGAGGTGCTCAGCCAGCACTTTAGGGGGCTGGAATCAATGAGATGGCCTTCACGGTCAGGAGGTGTGATCTACAGAGGGTAGAGCAAAAAGGATAGAGAGCCAGAGTCTCAATGTCAGAGAAAGGACATATGAATTCACAAAGGGGAAAGACTGAAATTCATGCTTTTCAATATTTGTATGCAGATATGGATGTCTGCATGTTTATATGCATATATACGAAAATATTACAAACCCTCGACCACAAACCCCAACATCTGTATTTTACTGCCTAACCAGCAGTGGATGTTCCCATCACTACAATAACAAAGCCTCTCACTGTTTTCCACTCCCTACTTCTGCCTCCTGACTGACCCTGGTACTTCCCTCCTGTGGCCCTGCATAGCACAGTGTCCCTACTGCTTCTAGGAAACTATGAGTAATAAACATTCTTCACTGATATTGACCTCCTCATGTCATACCTATAAATTAAGTCCCGTGTACATTTGAAAACAATATCCTATCCTATCTCTGACCTCTAATAGAGCCTAAGAGCAATGACACCCTAATAGCAAGAAATATATCTGGTGTCCAGGTCTTTGTTTCTAAGTCCATCCTCTGATAAAAGGAACCAGAGTTCCCTGATAAAATGATTGATTCCAAGACTCAGGAAGTAAAAGTACAAGATGAGCATGGAAAATCACATCGTACCAAAAAAGTAAGAAAAGTAAGTGATCAAAGAACGATGGGGACATGAAAAAGGGGCACAGGACCTTAAAAGAGTTCTGGGACAATTCAAGTATCAAAATAAATGAAAAATGATTGAAACAGAAATCCAGGCCCTGGCTGGTGTAGCTCAGTGGATTCAGCGTGGGCCTGCAAAGCAGAGTATGGCAGTTTGATTCCCAGTCAGGGCACATGCCTGGATTGCAGACCAGGTCCCCAGTAGGGGGTGCATAAGAGGCAACCACACACTGATGTTTCTCTCCCTCTCTTTCTCCCTCCCTATTCCCATCCCTGTGAAGTTAATCGCAAGGATTAAAGAGCTGAACTCTACTATTACGATTATTTGAAATGTAAAAGGCAAAAAAAAGAAGCTACCTCCTCTATGCCAAGAAACATTATTTTGATGTCAACAACGACCTCAAAAAAAAGGTTTTTCTAAGCTACCATCAGGAAAAAAATGGCTAAAATCAACAACTTTAAAATCAAAATCATCATTTGGAGAAGTTAATATCCAACAATTTCTTTAAATACAATTCTGTTTTCTATAGTTACCTTTTCTGAAAGAGCTGTCCTGTTGGACTCACCAGGAAATTATGCTGTTTGAAATTGGGGCATTCCACAGGCAGATTACCAATATCTTTCTGTAGCTAAAATGAATACCTGGGTACTCAACTCTGACATTTATTCAGACTAATCTCATTTAAGTCATGATCTCTTCAATTGTAGAGAAAGTTGGAGCCTGATTTATTCATTCATTTGTGGGTTGGAGCTCTTGAACTTTTCTGATAATCGTCTTGGTCCTGCTTACAGTTGTTCCATGTAGAGACTGAATAATCACCTATTAAATAAAGGCAGTGTTGTCTTTAACCTCCTTTATGGTTCCAGTAAGATGGATTTGTCACTAATCAACAACTGCACTCATTATTTCAAAGTTTCTCTTCCAAATTCATTGAAATTCAATTATGAGAAATGAGGCACAGAAAATTGCCTTTCATCTGGGCATTTTGGGACTATGCTTAAAATGAGTAAAGCTGTGACGGTATCTATCGCAAACACACTACTACAGAGTTTCTCAAATTTGAGAGCTACAGATCCTTTTTAAAGGACAACAAAAATTCTTGCTTGGCCTACCAGTGTCTCAGTTGCTTAAAGCATCATCCCTCTCCCTCCCTTCCTCTCTATAATACATATGCTCAGGTCGGTATTTGGCAAAAAATTCTTACCACACCTCCAAGTGCTAAGGTGAATTTTTTATTAATAAATAATAGAAACATAAAATTGCTACCATACAGCTATAGAAGCAGAACAAATTTACAAATTAAATATAAAATATAAAACTAATGAAATTCAAATTAACAATATTAATAGATTGCAACAGGTTTAATGCTGAAATCAAATCATCACTCACAACATAGACATGGTATTAACTACTAGTTTGCTTGTTTTTATGCCTAAACATAATAGACTGCATACCAATTCTCCCACCACTCTTCCATTCCAAAAACTGCAAAGGTGCCCTGTGTGCCCAGCATTACTTGGCCTTCCACTGGTCCCACTAACTACTTAATTCCAAAAAAGAAGTATATAACCAATGATCCTAAACATGCACAAAAACATGGACACTGAAATTGTGTAGCAATACTCAGTTATAAGGTGGGCATTCATTCATATACTTACCTTTCAGATTAAAATTTAAAAATCTACGAGAGTCTACTTAGAAAGACTTTTCTCCAAAATATATTCAAGGACTGCCATTTGAGATACTGCACTACAGTATGACTGTGGAGATATTACTGAAAACCTCTCCCATCATATCGCACAATACCCCTCTTAAGAGAAAAATACCTCAAACCTTGGCAGGGAAGGGTGTTTTCCACTACTAATGATGGTTTATATCTTGTAAGTCAAGTGAATCTCTTTGAACCACTTTGCTTTGATCTCAGTATGTGTGTATAGTCTTCCTTAACAGCATAGGATCTAATGGACTGCACTCTCTATACTAATGTTCTCATGCTGCCTCTCTCTTGCCATCAGACCCTCATAATCCCTTTACCCTGATTTTTTATGTATATATTTACATATTTAAATTTTATTTGTCCTTACTGACTAGATAATCAAGCATATATTATAAAAATCAAAGAATAGAAAAAAACACACTGAATAGAAGGGATCCTTCCCACCAGCCATCTAGTTCCACTCCCGCAGAGGCAGTTAGTATTACTGGTTTCTTCTGTGTCTTTCTAGAGAACTCCTAAACCCTCTCTCTAAATACACACACACACTACATTCTGGTGTTATATGCACTGTAGCAAATCACTTCAAATAATTCTTATGATGAATTATGGGTGAAAAAAGGTGAAAGGGTTAAGAACTACAAATTGACAGTCACAATACAGTCGCAAGGATATAAAGTACAGCACAGGAAATATAGTCAATACTATCAAAATGACTATATACAGCGCCAGGCAGGTACTTGAAATATCAGGTGGGACTACTTTGTAAAGTATATATGATTATCTAACCATTATGTGCTATACCTGAAACTAATACAAAAAATACTAAATATAAATTGTAATTGAAAAATAAAATTTTTGTGCTCGCTTCAGCAGCACACATACAAAAATTGGAATGATACAGAGATGATTAGCATGGCCCCTGCCCATGCTAAGGATGACACGCAAATTCATGAAGCATTTCATATTTTTTTTTGACCCAGCAATTCCACTGCTAGGATTATATCCTAAGAACTCTGAAACACCAGTCCAAAAGAACCTATGCACACCAATGTTCATAGCAGCACAATTTACAGTACCCAAGAGTTGGAAGCAACCTAGGTGCCCATTAGTAAATGAGTGGATCAAAAAACTATGGTACATTTACACAATGGAATTCTATGCAGCAGAAAGAAAGGAGGAGCTACTACCCTTTGCAAAAGCATGGATGGAACTGGAAAGCATTATGCTGAGTGAAATAAGCCAGGCGATGAAAGACAAATACCATATAATCTCACCTTTAACAGGAACCTAAACAACAAAACAAACAAGCAAGCAAAATATAACCAAAGACACTGAAATACAGAACAGGCTGACAGGGACCAGAGGGGAGCGGGGAGTGAATTTCAGGGGGAAAAGGGGAAGGATTCACAGGAACAAGTATAAAGGACACATGTATAAAACTAAGGTGGGGGTGGAAATGGGAGGGAGGTGGGGAGCACTGGGGGGTGGGGGGTGGGATGAGAGTAAAAGAAAACTGTACTTGAACAATAATTAAATAAATTTAAAAAATAACATTTTAAAAAAGACATGCTTCTCAATAAATAATTGTTGTCAATAAACTACCATGAAATTAGACAAGAAAAGAGTAAATTAAAATACACTGTCATTAATACTATAGTTGTTATGTCAACCCTAAAAGAAGGAAAAATAATTTCTGGGAGAATTTAGGAAACGTCACTAAGTAGGTGATACTTTAGCTAGGTCTAGAAAATCAGTAATAGTATGGTTTCTTAAGCTTTTTTTAAATAAATTTTATTAATTATGCCATTACAGTTGTTCTATTTCCCTCCTTCATTCCCCTCCACCCTGCATATACCCTCCCCCACCATTTCCCTCCTTTAGTTTATGACCACCTGTCTCAAGTTCTTTAGATTCTATATTTCCCCTACTATTCTTGCCCTCCCCCCTATCTATTTTCTACCTACCATCTATGCTACTTATTTTCTGTACCTTTTACCCCCTTTTCCTTCTCCCACTCCCCTGTTGCTAAACCTCCATGTGATCTTCATTTCTATGGTTCTGCTCCTGATCTAGCTGTCCTCTTAGTTTGCTTTTGTTTTAGGTATGGTTGTTGGTAACTGTGAGTTTGCTATCCTTTCACTGTTGATCTTTTTTATCTTCTTTTTCTTAGGTAAGTCCCTTTAACATTTCATATAATAAGGGCTTGGTGATGATGAACTTCTTGAATTTGGTCTTATCTGAGAAGCACTTTATCTGCCCTTCCATTCTAAATGAGAGCTTTGCTGGATAGATCAATCTTGGATGTAGGTCTTTGGATTTCATGACTTGGCATACTTCTTTCCAGCCCCTTCTTGCCTGTAAGGTCTCTTTTGAGAAATCAGCTGACAGTCTGATGGGAACTCCTTTGTAGGTGACTGTCCCCTTATCTCTTGCTGCTTCTAGGATTCTCTCCTTTATTTTAATCTTGGCTAATGTAATGATGATGTGCCTTGGCGTGTTCCTCCTTGGGTCCAACTTCTTTGGGACTCTCTGAGCTTCCTGGATTTCCTGGAAGTCTGTTTCCTTCGCCAGATTGGAGAAATTCTCCTTTATTATTTGTTCAAAGTTTTCCACTTGTGGCTGTTCCTCTTCCCCTTCTGGTACCCCTACAATTCGGATGTTGGAGCGTTTAAAGATGTCCTGGATGTTCCTAAGCCTCTCCTCATTTTTTTGAATTCTTGTTTCTTCATATTTTTCTGTTTGGTCATTTTTTTCTTCCTTCTGGTCTACTCCCTTGATTCGAGTCCCAGTTTCCTTTCCATTACTATTGATTTCCTGTACATTACCATTCATTTCAATTAGTTTAGCCTTCATATGTTCCTCTAATTTGTGACTAAAATCAACCAGTTCTGTGAGCATTCTGATCACCAGTGTTTTGAACTGTGCATCTGAAAGTTTGGCTATTTCTTCATTGCTTAGATTTATCAGCTCTGGGGCTCTGAGCTGTTCTTGAGCCATGTTTTGATCTGTCCGTGCCTGTTAAGTATGAGGAGCGGAGCCTTAGATGTTTACCAGGGCGGGGCCACTCAGGTTGCTGGTTTGTGATGCTGTATGTAGGGGCAGGGTCAGAGTAGGACAATGGCAGTTCCCTTTGCTGCTTCCTGCCGCTGGGGCCTGCGTGGTCTATCTCACTGCTAGCTCCTTCGCTGGTTTATCTGCGCACGAATATGTGACCTCGATCAGCCCTCAGTGGGTCCACCGCCTTGCGCCCTCAGTGGGTCCGCCTGCTTCTCCACACCTGGGATCTGCCCATGGCTGCTGGTGCACCTGGGTCGCGTGCTCAAGTTGGTCTGGTGGATCTTTCCTGCCCGACCCTGCTCTGCTGCTGGCTCTGCCCCTCTTACCAGTTTGGCTGAAGGGTTCGTTGTTGTCAGACTTCCGTGTAGTTCAATTTTCTGTGGTTTGGCTGCGTTTTTGTTGCTAAAACTTTGTTGTTTTTAACCTTAGTTGTGCGAGAAGGCGCAGTGCTTCCACCTACGCCTCCATCTTGGCGGAAATCCCTGGTTACTTAAGCTTTTATTTAATGAATTCAGTTTCAAAGAAAAAGACACAATGAATCATATACATAGTCTTTGGCAGTTACAGTGAAGGCCACAACCTGGTAGCACAGTTTTAAAAAAATGACTGCAAATTCTTTTAGATAGGCCACAGAATCTCCAGTGTGGCACGGGACCCAACAGATCTACTGCTCTCATTCATTCTGACTGCCTGGCCTGCAAAGATATATTTGAGTTTGCACGCCTGTCACTAAATGTCAAAGATAAGGGGGATGAGAGGGGGAGAGGAGAAGAGAAAGGCATCTTAAAAACCTTCTGCCCTGATTGGTGTGACTTGGTTGGGTGTCATCCTGCAAAGTAAAGGTAGCGGGTTTGATTTCCAGTCAGGGGACATGCCTGGGTTGCAGGTTTGGTCCCCAATCAGGACACAAGAGGCAACTGATTGACGTTTCTCTCACACATCAATATTTCTCTCCCTCTCTTTCTCCTTCCTTCCACTTCTCTCTAAAAATAAAGTCTTAAAAAAAAAACCCTGAGTTTTGAGGGCATTATAGGGGCATAAAGTTTCTTATTTAAATGTGTTTTCCAGTTTTGGAATCAGAAACTAAAACCTACAAAATTAGAAGATGAACAGGAAAAATCAAAAATAATAAAAAGACAGCTTTAGATGCTGAGTGAGGTTAGGCTCACCAAATAGCTAAGTGAACTCACCTGCTGCTACCAAACAAAGTGCAAGCAATATGAATCTATGCCTCAGCAAAATTACACATTACTACACATTTTGGACCATCAGAATCCTTCTGAGACCATTAATCTGCACATGACAATGTATGGATTATCACACAATGTAAGTTATGTATTATCACACAAAAAAGGGACTTTGATAGAAATAAGCACAGGATCCATACCTAGATCAGAGTTGAGACAGTTAGTAAAGTAATGCTGATTGGAGAGGCCAATCACTATCTAAGAAATTATAACACCAGGTAAAGAAGAGGTAGATACACAGTCCAGTCAAAGGCAGAGGGCACGGAAAAAGGTAAAGCTAAAGGTTAAGAGGAGTTGGATCGTACAAGTTTGCTCTGATAAGAAGTTTGGATTTTATCCTGAGGATTTTAAGATGGGGAATGCTGTGACTAGATAAGGAAGTCAAAAGGATCACTCTTGGCAGCAATGTGATAAATGACCTGGAACAAGAAAGTAATAGTGAGTAGACAACTAAGGAACTTGCAGCAGTCATCAAAGTGAGGAGAACCCTGAAATAAGCGACTGATGAGGGAAAGCAAGCAAATCTGAAATATATTAAAGAGATAAAACAGACAGGAATGTATTACCAAACATATGACCAACATTATCCGGGTCTGTGGGTTGGGTTACTGGGCTGTGCCATCTATTGGGATAGAGAAGATAAAAATAACACATTTAAAGGGAAGAGTAGCCCTAAAACTGGTGTGGCTCAGTTGGTTAGGCATCATCCTGCAAAATGAAGGGTCACTGGTTTGATTTCCAGTGAGGGCACATGCTTGGGTTGCAGGTTTGCTCCCCAGTCGGGGCACCTATGAGAGGAAACCCCATCAACATTTCTCTCTTTTTCCCTCCCTTCCCCTCTCTCTAAAAATAAATAAACAAAATATTTTTTAAAAATATATAGGGAAGATGAGGTCGGTTCTGAGCGTGTTGTAGATGCCTGGGAAACAGCCCAATGAGCATGACCAGTAGGTTGTTGGCTATTATCCAGTCTGTGCTGAGGACAAATTTTCTCCTAATTAGTAAGGATCTGGAAGCTGAAACCATGGGCATGGGCACGTGCTTCCAGGGCAAACATGCTGGGTACAACACAAGCAGGCTGAGGATGGAATCTTTGATAAAGCCACACAAAGGGCGGCTTACGAAGAGGGGCTTAAGGAGACTGAGGAGTGGCCACTGAAGTAGGAAAAAAACAAGAGAGTGTGTCACCAAATTCTAGGGAAGATAGTTCAGGGAGTAAATGTAATTCTTCTCCACCTCTCTTCCCTCTCCCATCCTTTCCACATTTTCCCCTGTTAAAACCAGGAAGATAAAAATTATTCTATGATAATTCATATGGCTACACCATATCCCAACCAACTACTAGGGAAGAAAGACAGATACAATCAAGATCATTATACGACTTCCTGACATTTATTGAAGGTTTACTATTACTAAGAACAATATAAATACTTGACATGCACTATCTAATCCTTCAACAAACATATGCAGTAAAAAAATACTAGTGTTGAACCCATTTATTAAGAGAGAAAACTGAGTCTCAGAAGGGTGAAGTACTTTGCCCAACTTTAAAAAGCATGGTAGGTATGGGCTATGACCCTAGTCAATTCAACTCCCAAGATTAAAATAACTATGGCCTGACAAGAAATATATAGAAGAAATTAAACATCCAATTTGATTTAGAAA